CCTCCCCCCTTTGGGCTCCAGCTCTCTCACGACCCTGATGAGAGGGTTTGATTCTGGCATATATGTTGACATTAAGTTGATTACGCGGCCGTGTCCCGGCCTCGCAGACTAACGCAGCCAGCAGATAATCAAGACGTTGATTAACTATCTATATGTTCACGCCAGACCTTTCGAACCGAAGTATTCTTTCCTACTTTCTAAACTGGGAAAGGAAAATTTTGCACATAGATGTGTCTTGTGCACATCGAATTGAGTCGCAAATTTGTCTCTGGGTTACAGACAAAATAAAGCATTTGAACAGTCTAGGTAAGTACAGCTTGTACCCCAATAGTGACGAATTTGCACCAAATGGATAAGATGTGCACAAGAATACATCTAACCAACGTAGAAACATTGTCCCTCCACCTCCTATACAATTAACAAACAAACAAGAAAGAGGGCACCGTGCATGCTAAAAGTGACTCCTTGGTTTCCAAGCAGTCACTTTTTGCGAGTGAAACGTTGTGTGTTCGGGTGAATTAGGACTCTTCTCACTCGCACTTGCCTCTTTCGCACGCTCCCGGATCCCAGATCAGTAAGCAGACGGAGACGGTGGGCTCATCCATCTTGGTGTTGGATTAAATTAAACTTCTCGTCTCGGGCAGTTTCGACAACTCTGGTATCGGTAAACACTGCTGGCAATCTAAATGGAAACTATAACCAGTTTTGTTGGCTCAGCGATACCGACGTCTTTGTGCTGTTTTCCTTTCTTGTCTGTGTGCGGTACGGTGCCATGGCCCCTACGGCTCAATAATAGGGTGCAACTCTGTATGTTTTGCTAAAATGCGCAATCTCAAATCACCACTTCACGAGGTGGCCGAGGTGGCCCCAAAAAGGATCAAGTGCTTTTCGTCGTGTCTTCGTGTTGATGGAAAAAGAAACGAGTCTGAATATGGAATGTGAGTTTAGTGGGAGTACATAAATTGCACTCGCACTCTGCCATTTTAAGAGTGATTTCCATAAGCAAACAGCAGACCAACGTGAGCCTCTCGATTTCCGTCCCAAAGTTCGTCCTCACTTTCTCGTCACGATACTTTCTCTTCTAACCGCAGCAGGAAGACAGCCAAGAAGCAAAGGCTTGCAGCGCCGGGGATGCTCAAAGCTGCCACCAACTCCCATCTCGCAAAAAAAAAAAGATATCCCTACACCCCACCCAGTCTTGCTTTCGCTGCGAAAAGTGACACGTATAGCACATGAGTGCTAGCTCTGCACCCGCTAGCTCGGCACCCGCTGCGGAGCCACCGGAAAAAGGGGGAGGGCGGGGGTGGGGGTGGCAGATCGGGGCATCCAGAAAGTACCCCCGTCATTCGCCGTCACGAACCTGCTGAATGTAGTCAATGCAAGTTCTCGTAGCGCCTGATGGGTAGGCAAAATCTTGCCTGCAGTGCAAGCGTGAAGTGCGGGTTGGCCTACCCTGAGAATCGCAGGCGACGAGCTACTGTAATTTGCCGAAGAAGAAAACACATACTTTCTGGTCGAATCCGAGGGATCCTGGAACGACGGCAGGGAAGACTTTCATTGCTTTCCAAGGTTCTAACTGTGTTTGTTTTTTACTTTATCTTGTCCTCCTGTGATTCACACTGTGAAGTATGCCAATAAAACTTGCGTACGTTCCGCGTTTCATATGTCACCACGCGGCGGAGCGGTGCGGT